TTACATGCCCCCCCCCCCAAGTGACACAGCAATATGTCACTTACACCGCTGGAAACCTGGTTTCGATACCAGTGGTGGGCAGAGCTCGGATAGCTCTTTATGTAGCTTTGTGTTTACTACAAACAAGCAATTTACATATATTTCGACTGCCATAATTTCAGATCAACTGAATACTGACATTGAGTAAAAGATCTTGGAGCATATAAAAGATAAATCTAAATACAATTTTACACACTTCTGATTCAAAACCCATAAAGGGATAATTATTAATGTAAGAAAATTGCTTTTGAAGCCAAACATGATTTTATTCACTTTGTTTAGCTAAGAAAAGCATAATTGACTCAACGGCTTAGAAATTTTACACCACTACAAAGCTGAGAAATTGTGCAAATTTTGAAGAAAATAACTCGGACATTTTTTAAGTATTCTTGTAGTAATAATAAATGTTTCAATTATTCAATAAGACTGAGATATCGTTCAGTACCAGAGTCCTAGAGTTGGTTGGATTTGGTGCGTTAAAGCTGTTATTTTATATGTAGTACTAAGCATTTAATGTCACGGTTTTAAACGACAAAAGCCAGCGAAACAATTAAACAGAAACTTTGAACAATAAATAAATAAACATTTACATCTGGAACGTAAGGTTGTTTATGTATAAAACGTTTAAAATGCTCTAATATGTACTGAGTAAACTCTGAACAAATAAAATGGTAATAAACCATATAGTTTGTAAACTTCACTTGTCGCATTATTATAAATAACTGCTAATCGAATTATCTCGTAAACGTTATCATAACAGTACAATTGCGCAGTCTATTATGTTCTAAGCCTAATTTACCATACAAATTGCGCATTTACATGAACTGTTATATTTTCCAGCCAGGAAAACTTAATTTCAGAAATTAATCCAATTTTGAGCGTTTATAAGCAACTACATTCATACCACCAAATGTATATGTAACTTTGTTTATATTAATACGACCAGGATTAGGCAGCAAACAATATGTTAATAGTACTAATTTCTTGGAGTTGATTATTCATTTAGATATGTTTGTGAAAAGAAAAACCTATTCAACAAAATAATGAACATAACACATTGACGGCTGTAGCACCAATACCATTAGTGGGAACTCAATGTGCGAGAATTTAAACTATTTGAACTTTAAGGAATATGTTATAACTGGTAATTTACTGAGTGATCACGATTATTGCAAAATATTGCATGGATCTCTCTTGAAACGCCCCCCAGTAGCACAGCGGCGTGTCTGCGGAATTATGGGATTATAACGATAGAAACCGGGTTTCGGTACCTGTGGTGGGCAGAGCACAGATAACCCATTGTGTAGCTTTGTGTTAATTACAAATAAACAAGTTCCTGAAATGCATAACTAAATCTATGTGTAAGGGTTCATGTGCAAGATTGGAGCTGAACTCAAGTAGGAGAGTTTTATTTTCACATTACATCTGGCTCGTGCACGTTAACAGGGAACTATGCTATCTCGCAGCTAGGTTACTTATCCTGCTGTTTGAAAGTATTACATGAAAGTAAACAGTTTCCGCTTCGTTTAGTTTTCTGATTTCTTGTTCGTGTAAGCACGACAAACAGAGCACATTTTGACCAGAAATGTTTATTTAGAAAAAAAAAAACACTCATGATTTACATAAAACTATCGAATAAGAAATGTTGATTTTTGCTCATAATGAAATCATATATTTCCTGAAATATGAGTGATGTCAGCCAGAAATGAAAAGCAAACGACATAGTATAAATGTATTATTGACATACAATAAAAAATTAAATAGACTCATGACCAATGTGGAGATTAATATTTCTTATAAGTTTACGGTACTCGCTTTTTGGCAAAGACTTTTATGTGCTACGCTGATAGGAGTTTAATAATGATCGCTTTTTATAGAAGTCCACTGTTTATTATCTTAAAATTCTAAGCGCCTCTATAACACCGATTCTGCTTTATATATATATACATAAATTTATTAGTACTGCGAATCCTTTTCACATTATTCCCCTTAGAAAATGTTTCAAAGAAAATTGATTTACACTTACATTTATTTATGCTGCACATCGCACAAGATAGTTCTCAGATATGCAACATACAGACTTTAGTAACTCATAGAGGCTCCAATGAAAATTATCTTATAAAATAGAGGTGTGTATATAATTTTATTTTTTTACAATAAAAACATTATTTCCCAACTATTCCAGCATAATCACATTTATACGAATACAAGACTTTTTGTTCTATGAATATTTTATAGAAATAGAAATGGTTTACTAGAAACTTATTACAGCACACTATTATAAACACATGTTTTTTTATTCATTTGCTCGAAAGATTACAAATTATTTGTCAGCTATTTATGAATATTAATTTTTTTACTTTTATCTCTTTGGTTAGTGACGTATTTTCAGAGTAGACAAAGTTCCAACTCACTGTTTATTTTTACCTTTACAAACTCTAGAGATTCATTACAAAAATGTCTGCCTTTAATGACACAAAAATGTTCAATCAAAAATTCGACATAGACCTGTACTAAGATCAAAGAGTTCAACCAATCCCCATGACTCTCACTTCAGACACTAACAACTCAATAATCCCACAATCTTTGCTTCTGTTGATGTTAACTACCTTAATATTTTCTCTACAGTTTCATCTATATCTGACTCTACTGAATAAACAATTCGCTGCATTCTCTACATCAACTATTACTGATATTAATTAGCTCAATATACCCACATCTAGCATACTAACACTAAACAACTCAACACTCACTTATAATCTACCTCTATATGCTAAAAAAAAACCAACTCGAGGCATACTATACCTACTACACATGATCAATAACGATCACTTTTTCAACAGTCATTCTTAACCCGATGATGACCTAAGCAGATCGAAAAGTTGTTACTTGTTTTACGTTTTAATAAAAGTTTTTAATACCCATATCAATCGTCTCTACTATATAATATCAATTTTATTTATAGACAAATTGATCAAGTTGTAGATAAGAAGTTAAATAATGTTTTCAGAAACTACAAAATAATTTGAACAAAGGGCAACTTACAAATTTATAGAGATTGCTAACTTTTAAAAATCCTTTAGGAAAGAATGAAAAAGGTATTGTACTTTGTAATAAAAAGAACTGTTAAATCTGTACCGAGAGATATATTTAAATAGAGTACTTAACTGTTTGATCAAAAGTTCACGAATTAATTATGTTGAAAGGTTCTTTTGATTGTAATGCTAAAAATGCAATTTGGGTTTTAAAATGTTATACTGGTGGAGGATTATATGTTGGAGAAGCTAATAATTTGAGACTAAGAGTTAATTTACATAAATATCATGTTAAAAATTTGAAAAATTGTACCCTCCTAGTAAGTACACATTTTTATTTCGGTAATTCTAATTAATTTAACAGATTGAATGAACCCGTTTTCAAAGTTTCCCCTTATCGGAATTGTACTGAAAAGAAGAAAATATTATTTTTTGAAAAAAGTATTTTGCTGATCGTTTCGAAGCTTCTCTAAATTTGAATTGAATGTTTGTTTCTTATCGCAAAGTCATAATGGGCTATCTGCTATGTCCATAGTGGGGAATCGAACCCTACATTTTAGCGTTGGAAGTCCATAGACTTACCGCTTCCCCACCGGGGGACAATTTGAAATGAAAGTCGTTAGGAAACGAAATGTTTACTAAATAGTTGATGCCCGGCATGGCCAGGTGGATAAGGCGCTCGACTCACAATCTGAGGGTCGCGGGTTCGAATCCGCATACCACCAAACATGCTCGCCCTTTCAGCCGTGGGGGCGTTATAATGTGACGGCCAATCCCACTATTCGTTGGTAAAAGAGTAGCCCAAGAGTTGGCGGTGGGTGGTGATGACTACCTGCCTTCCCTCTAGTCTTACACTGCTAAATTAGGGACGGCTAGCGCAGATAGCCCTTGTGTAGCTTTGCGCGAAATTCCAAAAACAAATAGTTGATTTGTTGTTAAGCAGAAAGCTACATAATTAGCTATCTGCGATGTGCCCACCATAAGTATCGAAACCCAATTTTTAGTGTTAGAAGTCCGCAGGTTTACCGCTAATCCACACTAATCATGTGTTTGGAAGTTTGGGTGCGTATTTGGAGTATTTAGGTTATTTAGGTAAAATAAGTAAAGCATGTTTAAAAAAATAATACCTGTAATCCGTGTATTTTGTATATTCTATTGTGATTTTGTCGTTAAAGCCAAAAATATTTTATTGTTTTCATTTAAGGAGTCGTTTTAATTAGGCCAGTCCCACGAAATATGCTTACCCTTTCAGCCATGTGGGCGATATAATATGACCGTCAATTCGTGGTAAAAGAGTAGGTCAAGAGTTGGCAATGGGTGGTGATGACTAGCTGCCTTCCCTCTAGTCTTTCACTGCTAGTCTTTTACTAGCGCTGATAGCCCTCATGTAGCTTTGCGCGAAATTCATAACAAACCTTCGTTTTATTTAAGTTTCGCTTTTAAATTTATAGTAATAAAATTATCTATATTAAAACTAGTATATTAAAAATATAACTTGTATATTTAATTTGTATTTAAACTATAGATTTTAGACTTAAATATTTTCCCTTTTCAAAAAAAGTATTGAGCTGCTTTCTGCTTTTTATAGATATTATTCCGAAGAGCATCCTGTGATGCTGATAAACCGGTAAAATAAAATTATAAGAAACAGTTTGGAAAACAAGGAGACGAATTTTGTTATAAATACTAATCGTAAACTTATTTTAAATTTTAACCTCAAATAGCAAATAATCTGAAAAGTGGTGCTAGCTACACATACACACACATATATATATACTCATACTTTAACCACCGTAAGTGAATGTTAATTATTGGTATTATATTTATATTAAATACTGGAAGTAAAACCTAATGTCAGCTTTCTCAATCTCTGTGATAAACGGCTGGTTACTTAGGTCACTAATTAAAAAAAATATATTTTATTACCTTGAAATTCTCGCTCATGAAACAGTAAATGATCGGATTTACGAAGCTGTTGGCCATGGAAAACCAGTGGCAACAAAAGAAAGAAGCAACAAAAGCAAAGTATTCTCCCTGGCTGCTAACAACTGTGAAGTCCTCCTTGAAATATATTAACATGTTGAAAATATGAATCGGAAGCCAGCAAACGGCAAAGACCAGGACAACAACAGACAACATCTTGATAACCTGGAAAATACATACTGTTGTGTTCATAAATCTTCATTGAAATGAACAATTTTTCGACTTGGTGCATGTATGTTAATCATCAAATTCAAAATAGTAATAGTAGATTTCTAGCAACTAACCTCATCGCTTCCACTATGAGGAATATGTCATTAAAAAAAAGTCACGTTTGTTAATGTTTTCCTTATATATAATCGCAAAACTGTTATCTACTCATTCTATATCAAACATTTGGTCTTTCTCCCTATAATGTTTTATATTTTCTCGTCTTTTCGCATAAATTTGGTATAAAAAGACACTGGTTAAAAGTAAACATGAAGAAATATGAAGGTAATCTAACCAGAAATATGCTATAGTAAAAAGTGAATTACGTCAAATACTCAACATTATAATTAAATATTTTTTCCCTTAATTACTGTTTAAATTTCATGACTGAGAGCCACGGCTGTTTGCATATTTACCCAAGATGTTAATTTCACAGAGCAGTTTAAATGATTAAGTCTTTCAACAAATACATCATTATTCAGACAAATAATCCTAGCTAAGTCTAATAAGTAGTGTTAAAAATACCAATGTTTTCAGTCAAGCGAACGATTAAGTGTGCAATGTTGATTAAAGCAAATCAGTGCTGTTACAGATATATTTATATATATGCGTGTGTGTGTGTGTGTGTGTGTATTATAAATTCAACTGAATTTTTTATATTATAAATATATGCATCTTTGTTCAAGTGCATAAACCTTATGGAGTTAATCTACAGTAAACCTTACCTTGGTCTTAGACTGATGTTGCTGGCTGTCTCGCATGTTGTGAGCGTTGCCTGGAGCACTGTGCTTCCACATTTTTAAGCCTATGGTAGCATACGCATAGGATAACACCAGCAAAGGAAGTAGAAACGTCACAGCGAATACGACAACCGTGTATAACTGAAACACAGTCGTAGATTGTACAAGCAAACATATATACATTCAGTTATCTGACACAAACACTAAGCGATAAGAAAAAATACATAGACAACATAAATGTATTTCAACCACATCGATGAAATACTATTATACATTCTTGTTGAAAAAAAAAAAACAACCTAAGGGACTGAATAAAAAATGTAACGTTAAAAAATATTGGCCTAACACTAATGTCTTATTACAAGTATGATTAATTATAAGTATGCAGTGTAGAAAAGGCTTTTACACAATTATAATGCATCGTTTCATCAGTTGGCCACCTTCACTGTTAGCGATATTTTCAACTATAATCTCAATGATATCTCACGAGATTCGGCTTGGTGCTGAATCTATATACTAAGCTAAGAATGCAAGATAATCCTTATAATAAAAATAGGTAATTAAGAATGAAGTCTAATTTATTTACTAAACACAAACACTAGTCGTTTGCTTCATGTAATATTGCTGCTTTACGTCTGTAAGAGTTCGTTAACTATTTCACTTTGTCAGAATATCACGATATCATAATATCCAAACTTTCACTTTAATTTCTTTGTTTCAGGTAACAGTGAACTGCTTTACTGTATTGACCACGATAAGTTTGTTTGGAATTAAGCACAAAACTACACAACGGGCTATCTGTGCTCTGCCCGCCACGGGTATCGAAACCCGGTTTCTAGCGTTGTAAGGCTTGACCATGATAAATCTTCTACTGTACTAGAACTTTAGCATAGTATATCCTAAGAACAAAAGTTTCCCTCGAAAATACATGTATTAGAAGAAACGTTTCATGCATTACACCAGTTATGGTAGAAAAATCGGCATCTTTGTCAGGTTATTTTCTCCCCTTACAAGAAACCAATAACTCAGGCTTGCGAATTTAAGCTTCATAAAAGTTGTTTTGGTTTTAATAACAGATTTTCCATAACTTAGCTACGCAGATTTCGAAAATTAAATTCATCTTTTTGTTTTGTTTTTAAACGTAAGGATTTTTTACAAATCGAGAAGAAAAAACTATTAAATTATTATTTCGCTTACCACAATAAACATTTATTATTATCATGTTTGTTAAGAAAATATACAAACAAACTGAAGAAAAGGGAAGAAGATTGTTGTCAAACGAATAGGCATCCTGATTCATGCTGATTTTTTTTTTGTAAAATCTATGTCTTGTAGTCTCAAAACTACGAGTTGTGGCCTTTCTTTTATGTATTGCGTTATGACGTTTCGTGAAAAATCTGTATGTGATGGAGAAAAATGGATATCATTTTCAGATTCAGCGTATAGGAATTACTGTAGAACATGTAAAATGTTTAAGACAATAAAACCATCGCAGGCCTGTGTAATGTAAGAAAACTTTTTCAGTTATATTTATTTGTGGGTCAATATTAAGGCGTTTCAAAAAATTTTGGACGCAAAACATAGGAAATATTTATATCAGAGAGAGCTCGTATCAACTACAATATAAATTTCTGATTAAACCATAACTCAAACCTCCTTTACTCCAAGGAACATTACGATGTTAAGGAAAGAAAAGGATGATGAATTCGGATACAAGATGTTAGTGGGTGAAAAGAAAATAGGAGTTAAATGGTTGTTGCAATTTTTAGCCTTACCTTACTGTCGAATTCACCCATCACTTCCTTGCAGTCATAAAACATCTGGCCTTGTATGTAGAAAACTTCTGCTCGTCCATATATCAGCTGAACACTAGACACTCCACAAGCCACTGCCCAGATAGTTGCTATGATGACTGTTTCCTTAGACTTTGTCCATTGTAGTCCAAGAGGATACATTATGGCGTAGTATCTACGTAAAAATAAATGGTACATCGCACAGTAAAAGAAAGTTTTTCTAAAGCTCAATGTGATATTGCTGCTATTCTGATATCAAACCTAGTATAGTGTTTATTAATCTTCACTTGTGTTCTTACTTCAAACCTAGTATGGTGTTTATTAATCTTTACTTGTGTTCTGACTTCAAACCTAGTATGGTGTTTATTAATCTTTACTTGTGTTCTGACTTCAAACCTAGTATAGTGTTTATTAATCTTTACTTGTGTTCGGACTTCAAACCTAGTATGGTGTTTATTAATCTTTACTTGTGTTCTGACTTCAAACCTAGTATGGTGTTTATTAATCTTTACTTGTGTTCTGACTTCAAACTTAGTATAGTGTTTATTAATCTTTACTTGTGTTCTGACTTCAAACCTAGTATAGTGTTTATTAATCTTTACTTGTGTTCTCCACCTTACTCACAGCAAGAGTCTTAGTGTCACAAATGATGAAGTGTAAAGGGATTCCCCCCAAATCGATTTTAATTATCAAGTGGAACCGACTTTCCTGTTTCACATTCACTCAATCGGTTCTCAGGATCACGTTTCTATAGTGAAAACTCACGTACGTTTAATTTGAAACTCCCTTCAATTTAAAATTTTATCATCTGCCACTTTTATGAAATACATTAATTATAAAAATAAATACAACTATGTATGATATTATACTCTGCATCACGTCCATCTTCAGAAATCAATCTTATGAGTTAACAAATTCTAAGATAAACAACAATATGTCTTCATCACATTCTCGAGTCTGACAGCTAATTAGTTGCGCTCGTATGGTTAGAATCATTTGAAGTTGTTGCGTGTCAGAGCGCCTGTTGAGTTAAAATTAAGAAATGTATTTATTCATGTGTTTGTGTGTAAGTTGTCGATGGACAAAGGAAAGAAGTTGGCTCTTAAGTAATCTGCAGTACACTGATTAACTTTAACCGATTCAAAAGCAATGAATAGTTTGTTAAGCCTAACTTTTAGCTTCAAGCAGCTAGGTTGTACGTATAAAACACTGTTTACACAAGTACGAAAGTATGCCAGTTTTCCAGCGCGCTTATTACGTTGTCTTACTAAGTGTAATAAAGATTCTTACTTAGCAAAATCAAAAAACTTTTTATTTTTTAAGTTGAAATAAAAATAACCAGAATTATATGTATTGCGAAATAAATACTATATAACTCTTACTTATAACCACATACATTTTGAATACATCATAATCAATAATATAATAATAGCTGATTACGAACTATACAAAGTATTAGCTTATCACTCACTACATAAAATTATTAACTGATTATTAATTAAATTATTAGCACATCCCTAACTATGAATAAAATATTATCACATCTACAATCGTATATAAACTATTAGTACATCATAATTATATCGATTATAAATATAATACTAACTATCTAATAGTACGTAATAGTGATATTCTGAAGAGTGTAATATTTTGTGTTGCAGTATCAGGAAAGATCCCATATTGAACAATCCGCCTAACTTAACTTTGCGAACAGTTCTGTACTCTAGCCCCCAAGCTCAGCAGTAAGTCTGAAGGATTATAACTCTAAAATCATGTTTCGATACCTGTGGTGGGCACAACACAGATAGTCCATCGAGTAGCTTTGCGCTTAATAAAAGAAAAACAAATAAACTGTATTTATAACATTCAGTTGTGGTTTTCAACAAGTAGGTGGTTTCCATGTATTACATTGTATTGTAGGTTCATCAAACGGATTCTTATTGAGCACGAAGTGTATTCGAAACGAAAACTGTCAAACTCCACAGCCGAGTCTATTATAATTTTCCATCTTTATAAACAGACTACTTGATTTCCCATTTATGAACACGTTATTAATAGCTGTCTTCAACTGGATTACAAATACTCATGATTCCTAAGAGTAGCGTTCGTAGTTTTAAAGAGGCGTAAGTTTAACTGTAAAAACAATTGTGATTTTGTTTCATAACATGTGTATGTAAAAAAACAAAAAAAACGATAACGAGTGGGCCTACTTGACACTTGTAAAACTATATCTGTAACATAATTCCTTCTTAGGCGTATTTGTCTTATTCGATGACTAGTTTGAGGGATTAATTTAGCAGCATAACTAATGGGAGTTTAGTATCGCTATGGTAACCATGTAAAAAGGAAAAAAGAAAAATGGCTAAAATAACTATAAGTACAAGTCTTCCATTTTGTGTAATATCTAAATGCTTTATGTTAAGATATTAAATTTTATTGTTTATTTATCTATTTATCTATATCAAAAGTTTAATTTTGTAATAAAAAGTTATGCCATTATTAAGAACAGTAACATATATATTTACAATTCTTTGATAAATAATAGTTTAGCCTATTCAGCACAGAATTAGATTTCAAACTGAAAACATAGACTATAAATATATGTACAGTATACTCAAGGCATGAAATGAATTATTTTGTTAACTGTTCTAAAATAGTTACTCGATGCCTGTCGTTTGTGCACTTTTGGACTGAGTAGTTTTTGTAGTTCTGGCGAATAGGATACAATGGTTAAAAATGCATACTTCTTAGTACAGTACTGTCCTACAAAATTCTCGGATTCCCCTTCACTGTTATTCAGTGTATACTCAGTCCAATAATAGAACCGCGTTATTAGATAACAGAAATGGATATACATTTTCTTAAAACCGTCCTTTAATTGGGTTGAAATTATCCGGATAAACATTAGTACAAAACGTTTATTTTTGTATGTAGAGCCTAGAAAATAATTTTAATCTAATTGTTGTGAAAATTTCGACTACGTGTATAGCCCAGAAACCAGAGTAGCTATACTTATATAAGTAAACTTAATCAAATCATGTAAATTTGAATCACTGACATACGAGACCGTTTACAACCTATGATAACCCAAATATATATAAAAAAAAATTCAGGAATATAAGATATATGTTAAAAATAACGAAATCATAGAATTGTATATGTTTCGCAATGTATTCATTTCATACCATATTTTCTCTTTCAATACGATTTCATATAATTAATCGATATTTGCATTTATAGGAGAGTTTGAAGTAGTTATGAAATTTTACTCATTTGTTTAGAGGAGAATTTGCAGCTTATTATAATTTTCTTAACTATGTTTACAGGAGATTAAGTAACATTTGTTACAGCTGAGATTACAAGTGAGCGTTTGAATATATCATTTTTTTACATAATTTTATAAGAGAGTTTGAAGTGGTTATGAAATTTTACTCGTTTGTTTAGAGGAGAATTTGCAGCTTATTATAATTTTCTTAACTATGTTTACAGGAGATTAAGTAACATTTGTTACAACTGAGATTACAAGTGAGCGTTTGAATATATCATTTTTTTACATAATTTTATAAGAGAGATTAGTGGTGGTATTGCTATTTTACACATCTGTTTACAGATAAGTTTGAAATGTTCTAAGCTCCTTACAACATCTTAATCACACAGGGTAAGGTCACATTAATAAACACTATAAGTTTATTAAAAGTCGTATTATACTTGTGAACGCATTTCTCAAAATATGAAATATAAAAGTTTAATATAGAAAAAAACGTGTATTAGTATTTCTTACGATTATTATTAAGTGAGTTTTTCTCCACAGTTGAAAATACAAATGTTGTATTAAAATATTATCAATGCACACGTTGCACACACACACTCACACGTACAAACATCCAATACGAAAAAACGTTCTTCCACAGCAGTAACTACGTGGCTCATAATGATAGGTTTCGACATATATTGCCTGTTGCTATGGATTCAGATATATTATTACTTGATAACGCAAAATTTACTTGAACAAAAACAAGTTCAGTTGTATCGCTTCAAACAAAGGGTGTCTGCATTTTGAAAATTTACAATGCCAAACTTATTTTATATCTTGCTAAGTAGAACTGGGAGTGTATTTGTTAAATTTCTTTCCTCAAAAAGATTGGACGTTTGGGAATATAACAAAATGACTCCGGTTGTTTTGACTCGGTGGTTTGGATTATGAGTATATGTGCATGACGTTCTTAGGAATACTTTTTTTTTTACTTCATATACATATTATAATAGAAATACATCTATCTTCATAGGGATGTGTTCTCATGGTCATGCAACTAGCAACTAATTATTAACCTTTTTATTATAATCACTTTTATATGCACGATTGTTCGAACAGTAGTATTATTTTAAATACAAATATCTTTATCTCCAGTATCTATCTCATTTTCGCTGTCTGCTATTTCAGACAATAGTGTGAAAAATAGCTTTCGAGAAAAGTAGCTTAAGCCTAAAAATATAAATCAATTATTTCTCACCCATTTCTATAAGGTTTCCAAAGGCAATCATCCACATTTTATTCCCTTATTCCTTACGCTATTCAGGGTATTATAAAAGCGCATTAGTAATGGATTGAGGGATTTGAGATTTTAATTATAAAATGGATTTGGTTTGATTCCAGCCTAGTATTAACTCTTTGTAAAAAACGAGAAAGAAAGATTTGGATGAATAATAGAATATTTTGCGACCAAAAAGGTTCACCTAATTGCCATCGTTGGCATTAAAAAATCTATTGTAGTATAATAGGTATCAATCAGCATATTTTTATCTGGTAGCACTGCAGACGGAAATTTGATCTTAATCTGCTTCAATACACTTTGCGTTCCAGTTTGTATTCGGGCAAATGTGAAGTGGATTTCTATTATGTGTTCGACTTTTGGAAGAATCTCTTTTAGGAATTGCAGATCATATTTATTGTTCAATAACACCACATATTAAATCTCTAAAACGTCTGATAGTGTTTAACTGTGAGGTATATTACTGAAGATGATATATAATAAACGTTCATGTACGTCAGGCAGTCATTCAGAAATAAAACTATGGGCAACTTATGTCCTCTTCACCACCATAGCTATTAAAAACTGTTTTCATGATAATAACTAACATGGCAACAACTGTAGATGATTGCAGTTTTAAATATGA